AGGGACGAATTATACTCAACAAGCAGATCTAATACTACTGTATACATCAACGGCACGTAAAATTCAATAAACAATAAAATTTATCTTTTTTATGTTAATCACCTCCATTTTCATGTTGTGCTGTAAGAATTATTGTCATTGTTAAATATATATTGTTAAATAAATAAATAAATTAATTAAAAATCTATCTATCTATCTATCCATCTATCCATCTAGCTATCTGTCTACAGCTCTTGTGGACTTTGGCCGCCTTTCCAGTCGTTGCTGTTGTTATGTTCATTGCTGAGCCAGATGATAGCCACAGTGATGCTCTGTTTCTACCTATAGAAAAGGAATGGCTAGATATTTTTGAAGAACTTCCCTTTTATAGGTAAATTTTGCCGAAAACGTTTATTCTGCTGTATGAATGAATGAATGTATAAGAGGTAGGCCCTCTCGGCCCTTGCACCGCACCTACAGTGGTCTATTGTGCTCCCCTTTTGATTATCCTCAGCAATCCTGCACTTTGAAGGAAGCGTAGGATTTTGTACATTGGGACGTGGAAATAGTCACTTGGTTCCATACAATATTGACCCAAGTGGCGCAATCTTAAATAAGCTAAGGCCTCACATTCGCACAGGATGTGTGGCTGTTTCATTTTCTTCTTGACACCTCTCACAAGTGGGACTATCACTTAGTCCCAGTTTGAAGAGGTGTCCTTTAAGTAGTCCCACCACCCATCGTAGCTGGTTCCTGTTTAACTTCAACAGTTCCTTCGCTCTTTTAGCAGAGGGTCTTCGTATGAGTCCCTTTGCTTCCCTGAGTCCAGTCAAGGATCCCCAGTATTTCTTGTGCTTCATGTTTGTCCAGTTCCTGATTGCCTTTCTGGCAACTCCTATAGAGATGCCACAGGCTGGTTGAGGTCCTATGAATGGATGTTCAGCTTCAGTCTTAGCTAATTGGTCTCCTGTTTCGTTTCCAGCAATACCCTTATGCCCCGGCACCCATATCAGTTGTACCCTGTTATGTTTGGCCAGTTCCATGAGAGTTTGATGGTATGAGACCCTAATTTTGAGATTTTCGAGGACTACAATAAGCCTGAAAATTTATAGGCATGGCAGACAGCTCAGCCCTTCTTGATAAGCCAACCACTCAGCTACTTCAGAACTTCCAAAATTTTATGGAACCCGAAGGTTCATTACCGTGTTCACAAGAGCCCTCCACTGGTTCTTATCCTGAACCAGACGAATTCATTCTATGCCACCTCATCCTATTACTCTATGACCCGTTTTAATATTTTTCTCCGACCTATGTCTAAGTCTTCCTATTAGTCTCTTCCTTTTTGGCTTTCTCACCAAAACCATATATGAAGTTCTCCGACCCTCCACGCGTGCTACATGTCCTTCCCCTCCTATCCTCCTCGACTAGATCATTATAATTATATTTAGCGGCGAAGAGTACAAGTTATCAGACTCCTCATTATCCAGCTTTCTCCAACCTCCTATCATTTCATCCCACTTGGGTGCAAATATTCGCATCGGCACTCTGATCTCAAACACCCTCAAGTCGGAGACAAAGTTTCACACCCATACAAAACTGCAAACTATACTATACTATACTTCTCGTATACTATTATTGTATTGCGCTACAGCGTACTATACTGTGTGCTACAGAAAGATATTTTAATATAGTTTTATCTATGCCACGATCCTGACACTTCTCTGAAAAGCCTGAGGAAAATTGCGAAATGTATTATACAGGATAGTAGGTGCCTCGGCTGAGATTTCAATCGGGTACCCACGAAACACAAATTACAAACGCTGCACCTTAAACGATATGTAAATCGTCGAAAGCTGTCGCTCTGTATGTAGTATCACTGTATGTGCTATCACTATCTTAATTTATAGTATAACCGTCAACACAACTTTGTTTTTCAGATTGGTGTTTACTGAAGGATCACCATTCTACATGTTTCGGTCTTCAACCACAATCGGGAGTTTCTAATTAATTACAGACTGTGTTATCAATCATTACTAAACTGCAGGCCCAAAGAATCCGTTCCTATTGGTACAGTACATAAAAGTATACTTACTTACTCATGGAGCTGAGCCCTTCAGGAGGAGCCCCCAATTCTGCAGCTACTCAAGAATTTCCCAGCATTTTATGGAACCCGAAGGTTAATTACCGTGTTCACAAGAGTCCTCCACTGGTCCCTATCCTGAGCCAGATCTAGCCAATCCACACCATCCCATCCCATCTCTCCAAGATCCATTCGAATATTGTCCACCCACCTACGCCTTGGTCTTCCCTGTGGCTCTTTCCTTCTGGCTTTCCCACCAATATCCTATATGCATTCCTCGTCTCCCCATTCGTGCTACATGACCTTCCCACCTCATCCTCCTCGACTTGATCATTCTAATTATACTTGGAGAAGAGTACAAGTTATGAAGCTCCTCATTATGCAGTTTTCTCCAACCTCCTGTGACTTCAGCTCTCTTCGGTCCAAATATTCTCCTCAATACCCTCTTCTCAAACGCCCTCAGTCTATGTTCCTCCCTTAATGTCACAGACCAAGTTTCACACCCATACAGAACCACAGGCAAAATTATACTTTTGTATATTCTAATTTTTATGTTTTTGGACAACAGACGAGAAGACAAAAGTTTCTGGACTGAATGGTAGCAAGCATTACCCGAGTTCAATCGCCTCTTAATTTCCCCCTTAAACAGGTTTCGATCTGTTATCGTTGTTCCCAAATATCTGAACTGTGCCACATTTTCAAAACTTCTGTTTCCTGTCTTTATGTGATGATTTTGCCCTGCATTTTGGTGACGAGACAGTAACATGTGCTTAGTTTTCTCTGTGTTTACTTCTAGACCAACCTCTTTACTTGCGTCAATTAAAGTTTGTGTGTTTTTCTTTATGGTATCTACATTATCACCCAGCAGATTCACATCATCGGTGTAGGCCAACAGCTGATGTGTCCCGTTTAATTTCGGTCCCACGTAGTTTCCCTGGACCTTCCGCATTGCATATTCTAAGGGAAAGTTGGAAAGGAGTGGCGATAAAGCATCTCCTTGCTTTAGACCATTCTGGATAGGAAATTTAACAGACAAATGTTTACGTACACGGACTTTACTATACGTTTCTTTTAAACACATTTTAATCACCCTAACTAGTTTCATGCCGGTCACGGTAGCCGAGCGGTCTAAGGCATGTACTGTCTTCGCTCGCTTGGAAACCGGGATCGTGGGTTCGAATCCCACTCAGGGCATGGATGTTTATTTTGTGTGTGTGCGTTTTTCTGTGTTTGTGTACAGGTAGAGGCCTTGCGACGAGCTAATCACCTGCCCAAGGAGTCCTACCGAATGTGTAAGATTTAGAAAAACCGAAGTGAAGGGAGAAGTCAATGTAGGTAGGCCTAGGCCCACTGGGGCTGTAGTGCAAGGAAAAAAAAACTAGTTTCAAGGGTATCCCAAACTCTATTAGAATATTGTACAATACTTTCCTCCTAACTGAATCATAGGCTCTCTTGAAGTCTATGAATAGCTGATGTACTGTCTNCCTGCTTGAATAAATTCGGCAGGAATTTGATCAATACCTGGCGATTTATACCGTTCCAAGTTTGCAAAGCACTTTCAACCTCAAAAGGGCTAGGATCAGGTATTAACGGGTCTGCTGTATGGATTTCTGTCTGCCTAACACCCGTCACTAAGTTACTGCTAAGTTGGTAACCCCTCTTAAAGTCATGTATTCCTCTATACAGGTCTCTAATGTTCTTGTTCTTACTGTTCATTGCAAGCTCATCAATTTTGTCTTTCAGATATTCCCTCTTTTTGTTCCTGAAATGCCTGCTGGTTTCACGTCTTATATTGTTCCGATTATCCCCATTTAACTCGCTTGGATCCTGTAACCATTGTAATTTGTCCTGCTTTCTTTGATCTAACAATTTTGAGCATCCTTCATCGAACCATGGCTTATGTTTCTTCGGTTCATAATAACCTAAACTCTTTTGGCAGACATTTTTATATTCTCTCTAATAGTTTCCCAAGTATATACGTATACACTTTTTACAAGTACCTTAATATTAAGAAATAATATATTTCAAGAATTAATAAATCGACTATAAATATTTTAGTTATATTTATAAATTATTGAATACTTTTATGTGTATAAATATATACGTATATATACTGCTTGCACCTGGATGACAAGACCAATAGGCGTGCAAACTGGTAACGATTGACAACAGTCTATAATTAATTAGGAACCCCTGGTGATGGTCGAAAGACCGAAACATGTAGCATGGTAATGCTTCAATCAACACTAGTCTTAAAAAGAAAGCTGTATTGACTGTATATTATATTATATTATATGAGTATGAAGCTAAATTTTTGTATAGTAACAATTATTTGCAGAGTATAAAATTACTATGTAATAATATTTTAATGAGAGAGAAAATGGTAAATTAGATTTGAGATTCTCACAGCGCTGACCATGAAGAATGTAGTTTTTAGAGTCGTAACGCCGTGAATTTCGGAGAAAGCCCGACGTTTCGGAGGAAGATATTGCCTCCAAATTAAGGTTTCAAGATTAACTAAACAAACAGCCAGCTGGGTGCCGTAGGGTTCTTCCCACACCATGCGGCGTCACAAGGTAGAAATCCGTAATTTCATTGCAGCTGTGTGGAACATTCTCTTGTAATGACGATAGCTGATGAAGCATTCATGACGGGGGTTTCTGAGTTTTTGGACTTTGTCCTTCTTCCGGTATTCTAAAGGACTAAAGGTCACAACGTTTCGGAAATTTGACTTGTTGCCGTCCTCGGGTGACAGGGTGGGAGACAGCTATTCTGTTGGTCCCGTTAGAAAGCGCTAACCTCATTCACTGGGCATTTAGAATCTACTTAATCATAACATATAAAGGTTTATACTACAGATATTTATAAAAGTAACAATAGCAAAATTAAATTCTTTAAGACATAAACCTGTAATTGTTATGACAAAACTGAAGATTCTTACCTCCTTTGCATGGGTCTAAGTCAATATCATCCGAGATGCGACTAGGGAACCGCGAGTTGACGAGTTCATCAATCGTAAATCTCACTGCGCGCTGAGGATGCCTCTCTGTCACATTATTTCCTGAAGAAGTCGATGAGGCCTCCGCCGGTACAATGATAGCAACCACAGTGAGACACAGGAGAGCCTTGGAAGGTGCCAAGACCGAGCAGGCAAGGAAGAACCTCACTCCAAAAGGGGCCTGAGAGGTCACTTTGAACGTCTTTCTTGACATCTTCACCGACATTCTCTGACGCTTCGTCTCGATGAAAATTGTTTCAGTCTCTCGAAGTAGAGATATGTGTGACACGCAACAATAAAAATTATTCAAAATATGTTCCTACATAAATATCATACTTTAACGACACGATTGCATCACATTCAGATTTTCATCAATGATTCTGCCTTGAAATGATCCCATAAAACAAATGGTTTCTCTCACCATGCGCAGTAGCGTTTTTACGATCTTTATAAGAAGGCGACATACAAATATTACTCTTGTGTAATGTCAGATCCTTACTATGTAGAAGTTTCTCGTGACAATCAGCATGCGAATAATTTGCGGAAGGATTTCTGTATTGGAACAGAACATGTCAATTTCAGCTCTACATAAAAAGTTTGTGCGCTACAGAACACATTTCATATTCTGAAACTGGCAGAGAATAATAAAAAAACTAACTCTGTAGCTTTAGTCCGCAAGCGAACTACACTGACCGAGCGACCGCCGCTTGTAGACGAAGTTAGTGCCAACTTTAGAGAATAATAATTATTCTAATCTAATCTACATTAAATTAAATTGGAATATGAGAAATTATATTCTACAATAATCTTTAAAAAGAACTGAACTACATTAAGCACACATGTATTATATTTTCATAACGATATTCCTAAACTAATATTTTGAAAATATTATTTCGGTTGCTATCTCAAACCGTTTTTAAGAAAATAATATGAATAGGGAAACCTAACCTTAAAATATTGCTTGTTTATCCTTTCATTTTTCTTTGTATCTTTCGGTAAAATTTTCGAACAAAGTTAACTTGAAACGTTACGCGATTTATAGTTTTATGCTCAAATTAAATTTAATTAAAAGAAAATAAACTTTTATACTGAGACAACTTTTGTTACATAATTTCACGGGACACTGTGCTTTATAAATCTAATGACCAAATTTGTATATCTCTGTTTCATCTTTCCATGATAATCACTAATATTTCTGTTTATTCTTGCTTTAACCAAAGTCGGAATTGTACCGAAACGAGCTTCTGCTATGAAGCCGCGTGATCCTAACTTTTATAAATATACCATAGGCATGGTCATGCACGAGTGTCTTCTTTACAAATTAAACCTTTTTTTCAGAATTTTCCAGTGAAATATTAGTTACAGCTCTGGTAAAAAAAATCACGTGTTTTCTTTTAAAGGGCTTCTGGAATATCGAATTATGCACCAAAATTTAAAGCATCTTTGTTAAAATAATGATAAGTTTAATTATTAAATACAATTCTATTCAATTAAATTCCACATTCGAATTCAGACTCTATTTTCGATACACAATTTAACAGCCTTCCAAATAACAACACGCACATAAATTTCACTGATATATACGAAGGCTTCTTCTGAAGCTAAACGCAGAATTACAGAAAGAAGATGTCGGTCACTTGTCACACCGCGCAGTGCTGTTCAACTGATATGCTTTGCATGACGACGGAAAATGTGGACCGAGTGACTTCACGTACTTTACCCTAAGCCTCCTCAAGTCCTCACTCGGTTACAGCCAACCGGCCCGCCTGAAACCTTCTGCCTGTCTATTTCTCTGCCTGCTTTTGACTCAGCAGCTACCCTTTCACCCCACCCCTTGGCCGACACTCGCGTCAGCGCACAACTCTGCTTTGTGCTACCCTCTCTAACATTTAATTTCATATTATGCACAAGGGCAGTAAAGATGGTAAAGTTGTCCCTGTGCTTAACTAATTAAGCATTGCGCACATGAAGGTGTATGGGGGAGTGGATGTATAGATACACATCTTGTTGACCTCGGCCTTAGTCGGAAGTGAGTCGTCAGCTTCACGCCCCTGTCGCTTTACCACAGGAGAAAAAGCCACCGGTACCCACTGGATAGAAGGTTGGCCAGAACCATTCTGGACTACGAGGAGCAGAGAAAATTCTTGACCTACCGGGACTCGAACTTCGACCACGTGGTCGCCCAATCCGTAGCCAGTCGCTATACCGACTACGCAATCCCGGCTCCTGATTTTTATTCTTTTCCTAGTATAATTAGAAAGTCATTAGTGAAAAAGGATACGATGGTCAGGGCATGTAGTATGCAAGGGGCCAAGAGGAATGCATATCGGACTTTTGTGAGAAAACCAGAAGGAAAGGGACCACCAAGAAAAACTAGACGAGACTAGATAATATTAAAATGGATTTTAAATTGAGTTAGTTAATACCAGTTGAATTTTCAACGGGGGAAGTTTCTTCATTTCTTATACTATACAAACTTGTGTTACTTCATCTCCTTTCTCGCCCAAACTTTTAACTTGCTCCCGCCCTATCATTACTGCGCACCCCTTCTTAAACAGGTTTGATTTGAGGTTCTATCGGCGGTGACTATGAAGACTTTGGTCTTCTAGGCTGTAACACCGTGTAGTTGGGAGAGCACGTCGCCTCCATTTTCAGGGTCGAAGATTAAGTGGAGCAAGAAACCAACTTTTCTTGCCACCTGCTTCTGCTGGTTGCTTGCTTGGCTCACTCTTAAGCCCTGAAGATAGAGGTATATGATCTTCCGAAATGTCAGACGGTCTTCGACCTACGCGGTTCTAAAATCCAGAAGCCGGTACTATCTATTAGAACACTTTAGGTATATATCTTTCAATGCAGGAGAGTAAAAATGTAAAGGATCAGCCAAGCCATATTCTACGTCATTCCGATGTTGTCTCCAAGGTCCACTTCCTGTGTAAACGAAAGTAAACACACATTCTGTAATTATAAAAGTCTATGAAGTGCCGATCCATCCGCTATGAGACTCTGTGGACAGCGTATATGCAAGCCGTCATGTGGCACCTCTGGCGATATTCCCTCGAATTCGTTGCTAATATGGCGTACTTAAAGATGCACGCACGCATATNTATTGTTACTGGGGTGGGACTAAGTCCCTTGTACTGCGGCCACATCTGGCTTACTGTACCAGCCTCAGATGCTAGGTGAGGTTAATTGTGGAGTAATTGGTGGAATGAAGATGGGCAAGGGAAACCAGAACCGGGATCGAACCCAGGCCGCCGCGGTGGGAAGCCAGCGACTAACCCTTGAACTATGGCGTGGCCCCCGCCGCGACCCTAGCTATGCAATTGTGCGGTAAACACGCCCAACAGAACGCGGGACAATAGAAGACGGGGTTTCTGCGTGGCGTGCACAAAGTGGTATAAGAGAGAGATCTGAAACTGGCAGTGGTCGAGTCGAGGAGAATCGAGTTTTGAGGCACCGGGATGCCGGGGTATGAGCTTGGGAGCAGAGGAATTGAACTGAGTCGAGTCTTCGGGAACTGGTAGCTGCAGTATAATACACGTAGTAAGAAGTGAGTTACATTGTGATAGGAAGACTCCATTTGTGATTTGAAGTGACAGTGAGACTATTATTAATCCGTTGCCAGGATACGATTAGTGAAGACTGAGAACCCTAGTGGGTGTGCAACGGTGAATTGTAAAAGGTGTAGATCGGCTATAGCGCTGTAATGCCTGTAGTCCCGAGTTGTGTGAATGTATAAGGTGCAAGAAACGCTATCATCCAACCCAGAACTCGTCTTATAAGTTAAGGATAACCATAAATCGTGACAATATTTGCTCATTCCTATCCTCGATGGACTCCTGTTGGTTTAGTTAGTTATTGGAGAGGGTGGGTTTCCCCATGCACTGAGACCTGTATTGGTCCATTGTGCTTCCCTCTATGATTTCTACCAGCCTCTATACCCTACCGGTACTGGTGCTTACCATCAGTCCCGCCCAGCCAGCGAGACCGGCTCTACTAGCTGAGAGGTATCTATAATGCTTCCCCCATCTACCAGAGGTATTAGAGACTGCTGTTGGGCGGGAAACGTCCGTAATTTGGCTCAGTGACCTCCTTTGGGGATATGAGGTTCTTTTACGTGCCGTAAAGCTACAACACGGGACCCACGGCTTAAAGTCCCTCCCGGAGGACTTGTTCCCTGAATTTTTCCGCCATTAAAATTTGACGACCTCCGCCGGGTATTTGAACCCGCGTACTACGAGTCATGAGGTGGGAACGTTACCTCTAGACTACGGAGGCCGCTTCCTCCTGTTGGTTTTGTGGCGCTATTCCTTGTCCTACTAGACGGTCTTTACAATTGGACAGTTGTCCAGTTCATTCGAAATTTATACATGAATGAATGAATGAATGTATAAGGGGTGGGCCTTCTCGGCCCTTGCACCGCGACCTACAGTGATCTATTGTGCTTTACCTTTTGATTATCCCCTCAGCAATCCTATGTTCGAATCAAGCGCAGGATTTTCTACTTGGGGGCGTCGAAATAGTCACTTGGTTCCATAAAGTATTGACACAAGTGACGTAATCTTAAATAAGCTACAAATTTATACATATAATGATCTATAATTCCCAAGGGGTACAGCGGCCGGGGCGTGGAGATTCGTGGCGTGGTGCGTATATTTTAAGATGTATGCATGTTATTGTTGGATCTGTGGAGCAGCAGAGATACTTAGTTCCATAAGTCTCCGAAGATGGCAATCTTTTCAGCCCAAAAATAATTTTAATTGTATCCTTTGTCAGTACAACACTATTTCCACAAGATGGGGTTGCTGCCTAAGACGGCATGTTTCGACACATACGTGCCATCTTCACTTAACGTAGATAGTATATACGTGTCGAAACATGTTGTGTTAGACAGCCAACGCCATCTGATGGAAATAGTGTTGTGCTTGTAAAGAATACAGTAAATAGAATCTATAGTGATTCATGCAACAGAATGAAGCAAAATATGAGGTTGATATTTCGGCTTCAGACAATCCTTAACAAAACCCAGCATTACACGGAAGATTAAAGTGTTTTGATGAGTTACATTTTCTGGGATATAAAGCCGTATAGTCCGTTGAAAGTAAACCGACGTTTCGAAGGAATATGTCGCCTCCATCTTCAGCTTAGAAGAATAAGCCAAGCAAGAAACCAGCGTGAATCAGGTATCTAACTATATGGGATTATATCACAGAAGATATAATTCTTCATAAATATTCAAGACTCTTCTGAATTATAGCTACAATATTGAAAAGAATGGGGCAAGAGGTAGTGTAGTTAGCTGAGGCACAGACCGCGCCATACCTCAAGCGGTTAGACGCTGGCTTCCTACCGCGGCGGCCCGGGTTCGATCCCGGGTCTCGTCAAGTGGGATTTGTGGTGGAGAAAGTGGCGCTGGGGCAGGTTTTCTCCGAGTACTTCGGTTTCCCCTGCCAATCTTCATTCCACCAATTGCTCCACAATCACCCTCACCTGTCATCTGGGGCTGGTACAATAGGCCAGAAGTGGCCGAAGTACAAGGGACTTAGTCCCACCCCAATTGCAATAAAAAAATAGTTGAGACACTGTGCTACAAGCCGGAAGGTCGCGGGTTCCATTCCCAATGAGGTGATTGGAATATTAAACTGACCTAATCTCTCTATCCATACTATGGCCCTGGGGTCGAGTCAGCCTCTTACAGAAATGCATATCAGAAACCTTCCTGGGGCTAAAGGATGGTCGGCGCGTAAGATTGACACCTGTGAGCTGATAATCTAGAAAATGTTGGAGCCTCGACTTCTCACAACCCTCTGGATCTCCATGGCCTGTTATAGGGATAACTTTACCTTTTTTAATTGAAAAAAATATCTTCTCGCAACTTTTTCGACATAACAGGTAATAATAGGCAATGAAAATATTAGAGATTTCATTGGAAATAAATACCCAGACAACCTTGATTAATTAGGCAATTAGATACATGTACAGTTCTTCGAGTCCACTTTCCAGGGTCTCCTTGGTTTTCCTCCTACTCTTTGCCCTTTAGGTTTATAGCATCCTTTCCCTGTTAATTCTATCTACACAGTGGTTCCATCTCTTCCTAACAGACTCAATCGCTCTAAGCGCTTCTCGAAATGACAATAGAGGCTTAGCCGGCCATGAAATTTCCAAAATTTTATGGAATCTAAAGTAAAGGAAAACAAAGGGTAAAGCTGTCCTTTGTCGTGAGGATCGAACCCTTATCCTTTTGAGTTGCATTGATATTTCCCTATAATAGAATATGTATAAACTTCTAACGACAATGTTCACAGGTAGGCCGCACCTGGCACCTTGGTCTTCACTGTAGTGCATGC